TAAGTACAATTCTTTTACTCCTACGCGATTTGATGAGATTGAAACCCTGAAAAATATGTCTAGATGTAAGATGAAGCTCAAATTTCTTCTTGAAAAATGAAGGAGAATAGTTGCCGTCCTTACAAATTTTCAGCAATTTGCCGGTAATTAGTCGCTTACCACGTCTGCAAGTCTCTGAATACCATAGATGTTTGAGTGATGTTCTAAGTTTTACCCTTGGCATATTATCAGACTCCACATCTTTTGCAGTTGAAACCCAGGGGTGTCGTCAGCATCTTAATTTGATAAATCAGTCCTAAGCGCAAGGGATGTGATTGTATTTTCAAGCTGGTTGATAGCGTGGCATGCACAAGGATGTTTTAAAGGGGCGATCTCCTCGCAATGCGCGCTTATCAGAAACGACGTAGTTAGCACGGTTACCTGAATAAGAATCATTAACTGTATAATCCGAATGTGAGTCGGCCAATTGCAAAGTTGTTTTGCATTATTAGCTTATATAAAGCTAAGATCGAAAACAGCCGAAGTCTGAAGACAGATATGCAGCACTTTGTTGACTGGAATGCATGTAAAGAAACAATTTGCTGTTAAAGAAAAGAGCAGCATGTTTATCATAAAAATTATATGAAATAAAGAATTACCCAATTGTTTATTGATCATGAACTTTGATTTGAAAAAATGTTGATTTTTATGTGAGCCTGAATTCTAAGTCAGCCATCACAAGGAAATTCTTGCTAGAAGATATGAAGACTTCCTGAAACAGTTACGCTGATGTAAGATTCTAATTAGCACCACGATTTTCTGACAAGAAACTTCCAAATTCTAACAATGAGATGATGAAAGAGCAATACCACTAAGACTACTGATCCTTAATTTTTTCGGAATTAGGTTTGACTGTTAGTAACTTCAGTAACTTCCTTAAACCACATAACAAAGCAAATACAACAAGTAAGCATACAACTATAAACAAGAAATATATGTCTAGGTTATAATATACGATAACATTCAAATTTCGCCCTGCTACATATGATTCTGGAATGTGGCCAAACTCTGCTGCTAATTCTACTGTTTTCACTAGCTTTTCCTCCGGCGTGAATGGTCGTTTGGCAAGAAGATCACGAATTCGTTGAGCAGCTTTGGTGTACCTTAATAGAATTTTTGTATACGAGTAACTGCTTTGTAGTTCTTACGAAAAATAATTAGAAAATGCAATATGTTAAAAGTGTGGGTGAAATTTACTTTTTATCCTCGAAAATCTTCTGTATCGCATCCCGCATCAAAACGGTGTTCGCAAGACTCTCTTTACTTAACGTGATTCCTAAAATCTCTATTGTGTGAGAGCCCAAAAAGCTGATTTCATCAAACCTCACCAAATCCAAACTTTTCAACTAGTTTTGCGTTTCTCATCTGATCACCAAAAAGGGGTACAACAATCAGCGGTTTGCCAGATGTAGCGCTTTCAAGCAAACTTCCAGCGCCGCCGTGCGTTATGAATAATGTTAGGCGATCGTCAGCTAGAAAATCCAGGTAATTTAACAATGGAAAATTGATAAACAGATGAATTAAACAAGCTAAGTCAAAGCCAGAACATTGAAAGAGCAACGTGATATAATGGAAGGTATGCGCTCACTAAGTGATTTCAGATCATTTGAATCCTATGATGCCTTA